TGGCATATAGGAAAAACGCTAGTCTTAGAGACGGGTCTCTCAATCTGCAGCTGGCTAGTCATGCGCCTTGAACATGTAATCTTGTCCAGACTTTGTGTTCTAATCTGTAAACGGGGATATAACAAACAGAAATAAGACCACCATCATCTACCTCTCACAAGTTGCTGGGAGATTAAAATGAACGAACACTTAGCAAAGTATGCCTTACAGCAGTTACTGGGAACAGCAGGAGAAAAGAAAGGGGCAGAGAAAAGCTAGAGTTCATTAGATGTAGATATTTTTGGAGGAATAAAGACCCCTTGGTGAACCAGCATTACACCTGAACCCTGGCTTCTTGACCCAGTTCTGCTACTGTGGGTCTCACCAGCAGACACAGCCCGCTTAACATCAAAAGTAATGGAGCTGCCTCTTGTGAGGCAGCTCCACGTGGAAAGTTCCCAAGGAAGCAGCAGCAAGGACATGTTAACCATCCCTCCTAGAGACACATTCTTTCTCCCCACGTCCCCTCCTGACACCAATCTTGGCATCAAAGTTGGCCAATTCTTCCTTTCAAATAACAGTATTAATAGCAGTCACATTTATTGAGGATTCTTCTCTGTGCCTTTCGAGCATGGTTTTAAACGCCGGCTTTGCATGTATCATCTCATTTAAGCACCACCGGTAAAAGCTATAAAGTGCTATGATTGCAGTCACATTACATCTACAAGAGTAGAGACTCTGAAGATTAAACAACTTGGCCAAGATCACCCAGCAGGTGATAGGCACGAGCTAGGATTTGAACCAAGTCCTTTGGACATAAAATGAATCCTGCTGGCTATTCTAAGTTAGTTCGTTATGACCTCCCTCTGGACCACTGCAGGAGCCGCCCCCTCCCTGTGACCCATCCTACCAGCTGCCACCGGATTCTTTCCCCAAAACCTGGCTCGTAGCACCCAGCAAGACACACCACAGAAGGCAGGCGCTTTCAGTAAACGCTCGTGGAATGAATGAAACCTGAGCGACTGCTTCCTTAGCTTCCGTCCCTCCACAAAGCTCTCTGGTCTGTCGGTCAGGGTCCTTGAGTTCTGGTTCCCGGACTTTCCTTCTCCCAGGAAGTTAAGGAGGCCTTTGTCTCAAGTCCCAGCTAAACAAGACCTTTCTATCTTGTTTTCATAAGGACACAACATGCACTTCTCTTTAGAGAGTTCCAAGTGCAAAAAAAAAAAAAAAAGGTATACCATTTTAATTGAACACAGGACGTACACGTAAAAGTAGAAGACTCCCCAGGAGGACGGCATGAAAAGAGGAAGCCCAGACTCCAGGGTCCCCGCTTCCTCTTCTGCTCCTGCACTGGGACTTGACATTCAGAACACTTCTATTGCAAATCAAAGACTATACCTATGGGGTAATATCTTCTGTGAGGATGTTACCCCACAGACGACCCATCCTAAAGTTTTCTGTTTTGGTCAATGTATTAAGTCAGTTAATACATAGGTATCCATCTCTCTTGTTCTCTCTCTCTCTCTCTCTCTCTCTCTCTCTCTCTCTTTTCATCTTCAATTATGCAGACACCTACCTATGACTTGGTGCTCATGAAATGCACTGGCCCCAAATGGAAAAACCAGGCTTGTCTCCTATGTTTTCTTTATGTTGCAAAGCACCTAGTGGGTACTTTGAGACTGTTATGAGATCTAGTAACTGGGTGAAAGAATATAAATAATAAGATGGTGGAAAAAAACACCAACACTCCAAGATACCACCTGCTAAATTCAATATTATGTTCTTTAAGCAACCTAACAATTGTTTTTTAAAAGGGATAGTGGTAGTCTGCTTTGGTCTACTGCTGAAAATTTTGGGAATTTCTTTCTCTGAAGTAATAAGTATTGAATAAGGTCAAGGTACAAGCAAGGATAACTCCCTCAGATTACATTAGGATTTAAATTCTTCAGACGCCTCCTTCTAGACTAATAATGATGGTGGAGTTCAAAACCTTGGAATGCACTGGAAGTAGGATCTCTTTTAACATGATCATTTGAATGAAGACTTTTTTAAATACTACTTTCCTTTGTAAAATAAGTCTGAGGAGGCCTTCCTCTGAAATCTAGAGGAAGAGAAAACAACGCATGGAAAGAGATTACAGGATTTACTAATTACATGCTATGCCTTAGAATGACACACGGATGCTTCACAATCTTCACAACGTTGAAGACGTTGTAGTAAACAACTGAATTCTATGCCTTTTACTTAAAAGAAGCCAGTAGAAACACTGGTAGGTATTTGTTTATTCAATAATATTTACATCAATTCTGCAAATAAACATAGAGGTATCTATTGAAAATAGTGAATTTGCATTCAATGTAAATAAATAAATTCAGCTTACTTTCTACTTCTGTCTCTTAGATTTCCAAATTTAGTCTTTTAAGCAATGACATAAATGGTAAGCAGTAATCTTCAGGACTCTCTTCAATGACAAAAGGGCTCGGAGTGATTTATTTCATTAAATTGAAATTTAAACAACAAAAAATTGAGAACTACACTTCAAACTATTTCAAAGGAAAATGATAAAGATGACTACAACTTTTAAATTTTTAGTAATCATGATAGTGTTCAAATCTTTGTAGTTTAAAGAACAAGCGTAGGATAGATTTAACATTAAGCCAATACAAATTTGGACTGTCAAACCCTAGTAACAGACACGTCCCACAGGCCATTTTAATTTTCACAGTCCTGTTCCTAAAAACACATACCCCGAAGACTTCAAGTACAGAAGAGGAGAGTAAACAGTAGTCAGAAGGCCAAGTAGTCAAATGTGTAAAGAAAGATAGCACGATGCCATGAAATGACTGAGTGGCCATCCCTCCTTTCCTCTCAAACTCTTAGAAGTGAAACAGTTAGGTAAATAGGTTTGGTCAGGCCTGTCCTTGCCCTAAGCAATGTCAAAATTGCATTTTGCGGTGGGTGGAAGAGAGTTAAAATTGTAAGCCATGAGGTAATTATTAACTTCTCATTTGATGACAGAGAATTTGCATTCTTACCTTAGTTTTTACCTTTGGTATGCACTTGAGAATAATTTATTGCTCAAAAAAAAATCAACATAGCAACAGAGTTTGACTTCAATTCTTATGATCACATTTCTAACCTATTAATGTGGTACTAGTTTTCTTAACTTCTGTCTTAATACTTCCTGTTTGTGCACAGCTCAATCACTTGCAACCTCATACCTTAAAATACTGACTATCCTCTATATTCGTTGTTTCAGCATGAACAAACAATATTGCATGCGTGCATGTGAGATTGTCTGGAAAACAATTCTGTCTCTTCCCATAATCGACACTTACCTTCAGGGAAAGCATTGGGCTGCACCACATGGAGAAAGGTGTGCACAATTTGAAAGAGAACGCCAATGGATCCAGGTTTATACGAGTCTTTCGTGTCATAGTTCATTGTCGGCAGTTCAAATTCCGGAACATCAGAACCCCTTGTGGATGACGGTGGCCCCTCTGAAACGGTATTCCAACACAGCCCCAGCAGCAGCAGGAAGACGAGTGTCGGGGCCATAGTTAGCAAGGGGCCCCAAACATGAGGTAGAGCTGGGGGCCTCCCGCCTCAGCGGTTCTGGAAGCCGTGGGTAACACAGGAGCATGCGTTTCTGTGCAGAAGAGATATGAGGAGGACTGGGTCTGCAGAGTCCTCCGTTTCTGGCCAGGCTGGCATGCACGATCTCCAGGGGGGGGGTCAGTCGCTCAAGGCAGCATGCCTGGTAGGGAGAGAAGGGGCAGCAGTCACCAATACAGCAGCCTGCCTGCACCGGGAGCTGCCCCAAGGAGGCTGCACCGCTTCAGAGCCAGCCCTTCAGCCTAATCCGGATGAGGGGAGGGGGAGCAGGCAGAGGCTGCCTCAGAGCCACAGGGCCATGAAAGCGACCAGGTCCCTCCACGAAGGGTCACACTCAGAATAAAGACTCTAGGAGTTCAAGAAACACCATCTAGTGTAGAGATGGCTGTGATGCCCTAGAAACTAACATTTCTTGAGTAGTGACTATATTCCAGAGACTGTTGTGCCTGCTTTACAGGTAGGACCTTATTTTAGGCATTATCCCATTTTGCAGATGAGGGGACTCACGCAGAGGGGATTTCGGTGGCTTGCCCAAGGTCATGGCTGACTAGTGGGGAGGACAGAATTCAAACCCGGGATTTTGTCTTCAGAGCCCAAGCCCTAGACACCAAGATACTCTCCTTACAGTGCCCTTCCTCTCAGGCTCCAGGCAGAGGCACAGCGGTGCCCAGCAGTAGACTGTAGGTTTCTTTTTTTCTCCAAGTTTGTGTCTTTGTCCCTGTCTCTGGAGATCTATCTTCCTCTGCCTGTTGTTCTACTTATTGCTCATTGGCCTCATTTCAAACATCCCCCTCTTCACACGGCCTCAACCCAAGCCGGAAGAGCGTGGCCTCAAGGGCAGGGACCAAACTTGTGAAGGCCAGGCGACACTGCAACCTCTCTTTCTCACGTGCTCATCAGACAGTATGAATGGAAACCTTTGCCTCAAGTCACCACCACCTGGACAACTAGGGGTCCATATGACGAGAGGCAGGCGAAGGGGGACTTCCGCTCATCCTGGGGAGAGGGAGAAACAGGAATCCTAAAAAGAGCTACCCACCCAGTGTCTACTGAGATTGCGCAATGTGGACCCTGTTCTCCTCATTTCTGTCCCCAGAACTGAACATGGGGCAGGGCACACAGCCGGAGCTCAATAAGTGCTGCTGAATATAAGAATAAATAAGCCGAAATAGCTGACTTGCTTGTGCCGCTGCACGAGGCTAGGTCCTACCAGAGGGACTGGGATGCCCACGCATCCTCTCTGTTCCTGTGTCAGGAACACCTGGATTTTATTTTTTACTGTAGACACACACTTACTAACTTCCAAATAAGGACAATAGTGCTCCTGAAACACACACTGTGAGATGGGGAGCGGGACCATCAAGAAAGTGACAAATTGTACAAGGGGCAAGTGGACCCACTACATACATTCCACCAAGTCAAAGAAGGAGGAGGCTTTCATGAGCAATTTGAATGAAGATGTGAATTCACAGCGAATACCCTTAGATGTTGCCTCATCTTCTAAGTCCCTTCCCACTCCAATTCTGCCCAGAGCTACCAAGAGAATGACCCCAAACTCTCCCTTTTCCAAATCATGGGTCTTGTAGGCCCCCAATGGCTCCCAGTACCAAGCTCATCAACCCCAAGCTTCTGTCTCAGCTCTCTGTCTCACCCACAAATACACCATGACACCGGTCACTGTTCCCAAAAGGCAATCTCCCTGCCAGGCATGGCTGTTGCAAATAACTATCACCAAGCTATGAAGTGTTCTCGCCTTTCACTGGTTCTCATAGGAAACCAGTGCTCTGCTCAGGCTTCAAGTTGTTTCCAGGGAGAACAAGTAAGAAAACAAAACAAAGCCTGTCAGCTTTTGCAAGGCCCCTCAGTCAGGAAGTCCCCTGGGGCTACACAGGGTAGGAGGAAGGTATGAAAGGACAGGTGTGGGTGATTATTCAGGTAGGCTATGCTGCTACGCTGGGCAGGAAGGTATGCACACACACACATATCACACACAAACCACACAGGCGCACACACACTAACACACCCCACACGTAGGTATACATACCACGCACCATGTCCATATACAACATGCACACCACACACACATATACGCATGTGCACACACACACAGCGCACACATATCGCACACAATACACACACCGTACACACACTCACACCACACTCACATCTTGTCTTGTTTTCTACTGAAGGACAGGCAGGGAGCACAGCAGTTGGAAGGATTAAAGGCTCAGCTGGTAAGGCTGGCTTCGTGGTAATGCCACCAAGCCTCAGCCAGGGATGGAGAGAAACAGAGCAGGAGAGGCTCAGCAGAAGGCCCTTGGGAGCGCTATGAATAAACAGACTTTCAAACTGCCTCTGTGAAATAGCAGGCGAAGGGAAATCCCAAATGAGATGCTAGTTCTCACTAGCGAAGGTGGACGTGGCAGTTGAGCTATAAGACACCTGGAGCCCCATGTCCAGATGTCTTTACATCTTGCTCCAAAGTGCAGGTCCCTGCACAAAGTGCAGTGTAGAATGAGTTTTAAGAAAATATTAAAATCTCACTAGGTATGAAACACTAACTGCTAAAAGTTAAAAAAAAAAAAAAAGGGTGTTTCACCTGTTGTAACTGACTGCCAAAAGGGAAGCTCTGGGTGCTTGCCTGTTAAGCTACATAGGTAGCAAGAGAGACTGAGAGCAGCTCCTAGAACTGCCAGCATATAACCAAGGGAAATGCTCAGGGACCAACAGCTGCATCAGCATAAAATGAGGTATCTATTTAACATGCAGATTAACATGCAGATTATATAACTCCAGGCTTCCCAAACAGGGCTGCAGGACAACAGAAGTAAGGCATTGTACTGACCCAGGCCAGCTGCTGTGTGGGGTCCCTGACTGACTCACCTCTGTGGCCCCAGAGTCAGGCACGCAGTAGGCACTCAGTAAGGGCTGATGAAATCAAATGGTGGAGGGTTGAGGGAGGAGTGACAAAATGGTCATTTTTACCTATTTCAAAATTGTATCAAGCGTTTGTTTAGGAGCAGTCCTGTGGCCTCTGAAAGGTGGGGGAGGGGCGGGGGGGGCTGGATTGCTTGTAGCTACTTCCTCTGACACAGGCAGCAGACTGTCTCCCACTGGAGTGCCCAAGGGCAGAACAACTGGTCAACCCTTCTGGGGGGCCATACTTTCCGCTGGGACCCTCAACTTTGCAGGCTTTGGAAATTGCTCCCTCAGGGGCTATCTCCTTACACAGGCTTTAGACTAATCAATAAGGTAATGCCACCATTTTTCTGGTTTATGGGGCGTTAGCTCCCTGGTTTCTATTCTAAATGCACTGAGTTCAAACTGGAGAAGGGGTCCAAGAATGTGAATTTTAAGCAAATATATGATTCTGAGCCTGGAGTCCAGAGCTCGCCACTTCCTCAAACCCTGGTTTAAAAGCAAACATGGTGACCATCCAGCATCATTTCTTCTCTTCTTTTGATGAACTTTTTGATGGAACTTCTTTAGTTGTCTGCCGTGACCAAGTCACAGCTTGAGCTAAAGCCCACCGGGAACTTCTTTTCAAAAAATCTTTGTACTAGATGTTTGTCATCCAGGGTTTTGGTGGTGGGGCCGGGCGGGGCTATGGGAGCTGCCCAATCTCTGAGCCCACCTTTGTGAAGTCTGTGGGTTGCAGCCCTGACTCTCACTGTGAGGCCAGCTCAGGTACCCAAACTGTGCCCTGGGGGGGGGGGGGGACTCAAGCTCAGCCTATCAGATGCTTACTCCTGGGCTTGTGCACGGAGCAACACACTGAGGCAGACTGTTTCTAATTCATTCTAGAAGTGATGGCGGTAGTGCCAGGAACCACATCCAGAGTCTTCATGGTGGCAGCTGTGGCCATACCACTCAAGAGGTCCTATTGCATGTCCTGAGTCCCACTCTCCTTGACTCCTGAGCCTGGCCGGCCAGCCTTCCTGCCATTCCTCTAAGCCAGCAGTTCTCAACCTTCCTAATGCCGTGACCCCTTAATACAGTCCCTCATGTTGTGGTGACCCCCAACCATAAAATTATTTTCGTTGCTACTCTATAACTGTAATTTTGCTACTGTTATGAATCGTAATGTAAATATCTTTTTGTTTTCCGATGGTCTTAGGCGACCCCTGTGAAAGGGTCGTTCAACCCCCAAAGGGGTCGCGACCCACAGGTTGAGAACTGCTGCTCTGGGGACCCAGGACCCAGTCCTTTTTCTCCTAAAATTACCCAGAGTTGGCCTCTATCATTTGTAACCAAGCATCCTGATGTTTACCAAATCTCAGAGATAGCTCTTGACTCCCTGCAAAACCTATTTCCTTCATATTTTCAACAGTACCAACAAAACAGTATTTGGCTTAAAGTTTTATTATGTTCAAACTGTCCTCTGATGCACTTGTTTGTGTCATTGTACTAGAAGCACAGAAACAGTCCGGCACGGACTCATAAGAAAGTTCCTAAAAAATATTATGGGACACAGTAAGAGAACAAAACTAAAGGGCACTGCTGCAGAGGAAACAGGGAAGGACTCGGGTCCCACTCATTAACTCTGTACAGTGAGCAGCCATTTACCTTCTCCACGCTTTCCTTTGCTCACCTATAAAATGGGATTTCAAATAGTGTTGGAACGTTAGGGATGGACTAGGGCCAGCACCTGGCACACAGCTGGCCGTCAGTAAAAGGTCTGTACTGCTGCTCCTGAGGACGTCAGTCCTCTCGCCCTGAGCAGACAGGACTGCTCCTAGGATTTTGAAAGGAAACTCACAAGGGAGAGAGAAAAGAAAAGGAAGCAGTAATGTCACACAAGTTGAATCACATAAAGTTGCGGACATTCAAGTCTTGGGGCCGCAAAAGCGGAAATGTCACAAGGTGCAACCGAACACACAACCGCGGCTGTTGTGTCTTCAGTGGGTCTGTGTTGGGGCGCGGGGCGCGGAGGTCCGTTCAAGACCCCAGTCACACACCTCATCTTACCAAGGTCAGCGGCAGCTCACAGGCCCCCGGGAAAACCTTTCCCTAGCGGGGCAGGAGAAAGCGCCGCCGCCCCGCGGGCAGCAGGCGCAACCTGTTGCTGCAGGAAGCTTGAGGCGCCGACTTCCCCAGCCTTTCCCTCCAACGCGTCGCCAGGCCGGGGGGGGGGGGGGTGTAGGGGGGCCCCGCTCCCGCTCCCTCCGCAGCAGGAGCCTCCCCCGGGCTGCGGGACACAAAAGAATGGGCGGCAGCGGGTCCGCGGACCGAGAAGTCTAGAGGAATCCGCCGCCTCCTGGGGGAGGGGGTTGCCGGAGTAACTTGGCTGCCTCCAGCACGTCGGTGCCGGTTCCCGGCCTCCGTCCCGGTTGGCATGGACCGGGAGTTGCCAAGGAGAAGGGGGTCTGGAGCGGTGTACTGCCCCCGGGATCAGATCCCCAGCCCCGCTCGGCGCCGGCTTTGGCGAATCTGACCTCGGCCCCTTGCTCTCCTGCACCTCAAAGCCCTCCCTCTGTCCACGCTTCCCTTTGTTGTCCGGGCTGGCGCCTTACAGCCGGGGGGCGCCCGCAGCACCCATTCTCGGTCCCGCAATAGCTGAAGGCCCCGACGCTGTGCACCCAGGGCGGGTAGGGGGATGCTTCAAGTCAGGGGTGAGTGCGCTCCCCCATGGACGCGGGGAGACGCCCTCCCACTGCAGCCCCAGAGCCCCCAGAGCCTCCTGCTGTGGTCGCTTGCACCGAGCACTCCATTTGGAAACCTAGGACGGTGACCCCTTTCCATACCCACTCGGGAGGCTCAGTGCCCCGCGCCGCCGGGTGCGACCCCCGGCACTCCCTCACAGCAGAACAGTTCCCAAGACTCTGATGAGCCTCCCCTCTGTCCGTCGCCCTTCCGAGAGCGAGCTCGCGGCCTCGGGGGTCCCGGTCCTGCTCCCGCTCCCACTGCCTGTTGGCGCAGGGCGTCCGGCGAGCCACAGCCGCCAGCTCCCCTCCACTGGGTGGAAAGAAGACCCACCAGGCAGCCGGCAAAGTTTGCACGCGTCCTCGCCCTGCCCGGAACTCCCGCTGGCCGGGAGCCCGGACCAACTCGCCCGCCCTGCAGCCCCCCTGACGCTCTCCAGGCTCACATCACCTGCTGCCGTGGGGCGGGAGCAGGGGCGGCGGCGGGCTGGGAGTTAAGGGGTGCAGAATGAGCCCCTCCGTTCCCCATTCCTAACCCCCAGCTTTCTGGAAGGGAGTGCACTCAACTCCCGGCTCGGTCCACAGACGCCTCCTGGGATCGGGGTTAGGACGCGGCCACTCACCATGCGCTGGGTCCAGCTCCGGCTTCGGCCCGCACAGCCTCCGCGCCCTCCCCCAGCAGCCTAGCTCGCCCGGCCCCGGCTCATGAATGATTTATGAGCCCGCTTCGGGGACCACCAGGAAGGCTTCCGGAGAGGCTGCGGGACGCCTCCGGCTGGGAAAGGCGCTTACCCTTGAGGCGCGCGAGCGAGGCCCAGGGGCCCACAGGACCTGTTGCGGCCGCTGCTGCTCCTGACCTGGATCTGCGGATGGAGCCGCCAGGGTGGCAATGCTTCCCTAAACTTACTCACCTGCGGCGGGAAAGGTGCACGCGGCCAGGGTGCCGGGTGGGCGACCCGGCTAGGTGTTTTAAAGATAGCCAAGCCTGGAGTTCTGGACGCACTCTCACTGGACCAGCAGGGCTGTTTCGCCACAATGGCCCTGGGCACCACCAAGACTTGGACTGCATCCATTTCCTGTAGCGCTAGTCCGGCTCACCGGAGCACGCCCTTCTCACATCACCCACCCAGAGAGCCCTCTGCTTGGAACGCTGCAGCCCTTTTACAAACTCCCCCTCTCTCAGGTTCCAACTCAGACCTGCCTGAGCTGACCACCCCCCTCCACTCCAGGCCGCTTTAGACGCTGCTATTGCCAGCTCGCAACAGACTTTATAACTATTGCATTGTTTTGTACACCTGAAACTAATAACATAATAATAATAATTAATAATAATAATAATGATTTTACCCAAACAAAACAAAATCCAAGTTATTTGGTTCCTTAGTGTGTACCAATCACAATACTAGTGGCTGGAGCAATTAAAACAAAAAAACGGCATCAACAGTCATTCTCCCATCTATGCCTGCAGGCATCCGCTGAACAGGAAGCAAAGGGTGCCTTAATTAATCATTTCATATCGGTCTGATCCCTGGCGGCTGTTAGTTGCCCACCACCTCCACAGTTTCGCCCCACTCTAAACTGCCTGGTGGAAACCTGCAGAAAGTAATCACTCCTTCTTCCAAGTGCACTCAGGAGTGTGTCTCATGTCTCTCTCACCACTTCCTACCTGAGAATACTGTCTGGTAAGAGAAATAAGACATATGGAAGAAAAGCACCTTCAGGACGGTGGCTAATACACAGTCTGTGTTTAATGTTCATAAGATGGATGGATAGATGGATGGATGAGCAGACAGTTGAATAATGGGCAGGAATATTAACTCAGTGGCTCTTTCACTTACCCCAGAATCTAGCATAAAATGCTGCTGGAAAAATCATTATTTGATTTAAGTTTAAATTCATCTTGCGTGGGTGTATTTCCAGGACTACTACTGCAAGCTCAGAAACTTCTGAAAATTGCCCTACAGGCATGTCAAGAGTAGGTGGTACCCCGGGGCTTGTAATCAGGCCTGATGTTTTCCCCTATAAGGCCCCTGCTGGTCAGGGACCTCTCCTTGAACACCTGCAGAGGTCCCAGCACTGCTGCTCAGAGGCAGCCCTCTCTGGGTGGGGCTCCCAGGTGAGGTCTCCCTCCTAAGAGCAGCCAGCTCTCCACCTGCCCAAGTTTCAGTCCTGCCGTTTTTCAACTCTGTAACTTCGGCTGCTTTATCTCTCAGAGCCTCATTTTCCTTGAATGCAAAATGAAGAAAAGTATGCCTCACAGGGCTCAATTTTATTATTAATAATAATAATACCGACAACAGTAGTAGTAGTGGTGAGTGTTAAGGCTTAATGAATGAGGACTACACTAAGAGCTTGAAGCACAGCATTCTATGTAATCTTAGCAACAACAGCAGCATATTACTAACTCCATCTTAAACAGAAAGCTAACACGATTTCAGTAATTTGTCCAAGGTCACAGAACTAGTCATTGAAGCACCAACTTCGAACCCAGATCTGGCCTCCAGAGCCCATAATTGCCCTAACACACCAGTGCACTGAAGATAACAAAACCCCCACCTGGCCTGAGCAGTGCAGTGTGACACTGAAAGCTTCAACTCTTTTTATCCATTTTCATTACCCTGAACACCTATTCTGCCTAGACCATCATAGGTATTCAATCAGTGAAGGAATAAATAGTAAACATAGAACAAAACATTAAGATCTGGTCTGAGCAGCCTTAGGCAGACAGTGATAGGACCTCATGATTTGTTCTGTTCATTTTGGTTTGGGGCCCTAATCCCGCAGTCCTGTATATTTAGCACAGCTAAATTTCTGTGTCATCTGTTATATGCAAAGCCAGGTGGGGGTGAAGTTATTCCCAGACACACACTCAGTCATTAGACGCAAAAATTAGGTCTCCTTTTCCTGGAATTGCCCCCTCGTTTTTTTGTGCCCAAATGAAATCTAAACATGAGGCACTGTGGCATCCTACCTAGCAAGTCCTAAGAGATTCATTCAGGTTATGTCACTATCATTCTAAATAGAAATTCTACTAGTTTTGAAGGGTATGGCCCCATGCAAGCCAGGGTTCTCCCGTAAATGTTTTACTTCACGATTTCCTGTTCATCTTGCTTTCCACCCACCCCCCTCCCTGCTCGCCTCTGGGCTCAGGTACCAGAAAGCAGTATTGCTGGTGTTGAATAACCAAAGGCCAAGGAAACATTCTTCTTGTACTTAGAGAAACTTGAGGTAAGATTTATAACTCATCCATCAAGCCCGCTGCGTAGTAATTCAAAGGTAGAGGAAAAATACTTCAGTCCAGTTTGGACAGAAGGAGGAAAGAGAGAGAAGGGGCCAGCCCAAGGCCAGTGCCTCAGAGCTTGGATTCTGAACTTGAAACCTGGGGAGAAAATTCAGTCACGTTTTATGTTCTGAATCTGTCTGCCGGTAACTGTTTCAAATAAATGCCTTATCTCTAGGGCTGGTTTTCATCTGTGTCTTTCCCTCTGACATCACTTTTAACATACACTAACTCTTATAATTGGCCTTTAGTAACCATATGGAGAAAATGAGGGCAGCAAAAGTAAAAGAATGATAAAGCACTAGGTACCAGATCTCATTTTCTCAAGGAAGATGAGGTCCCTTCCACCTAAATGCTACTGAAAGGTTGCAGAAGGAGGTAGGCAGGAAAACTCATAATTTCTGATTCTATAGTTCTCAGTTTTTTATCATATTCCATAAAGGGTTCTCCCAGGGACTTGTACTTTATACAACAGCAAAACTTACCTCTTTGCTAAGCAGTGTTTTACTCCTCTGGGAATAATTACTATTAGTTTTCTCAAAAGAACTACTAATTTGTACTTCTCTTTATCATTTGAAAGTACTTATTATCTATTAGTCAGTCAGTCAGTCAATCAGTGAGTAATATTTACTCAGCACCCACTAGAGTCTCGAGGTAATCTGACTCAGAATTTACTTATGGAAAAAACACCTTTTATCAAACACTATCTTTCCTCTTATTTACTCCTGGCATATTTCCCTCATTGGAAGTCTTTTAAAAGAAGCATTTTCTGCAAAATTCTTTTTTGCTTTATACTTTATCTGCTACCTAAGCTATAATCAGATATTTATTTTAAATGTAGTAAACTTTCTGCTAATTAAAACACTCTTCTTTTTGGCCAGAGCAATTAAGGGGTTAAATAACAGTCCCATCCAACCTTGAGGACATTATGCTAAGTGAAATAAGTCAGAGAAAGACAAATACTGTATGATCTCACTAACATGAGGAATCTAATAAAAGCAAACTCTTAGAAGCAGAGATCAAACTGGTGGTTGCCAGAGGTGGGGCTTAAAGAACAAGGGAAGTGGGTGAAGGTGGTGGAAAAGTACAAACTTAATGGTTATAAGATAAATTAGTCCTGGGAATGTAATGGACAGCATGGTAACTATAGTTAACAGGACTGTGTTGTACATTTGAAAGTTGTCAAGGGAGTAGATCTCATCACACAGAAGAAAAAATTTTATAACTATGTGAGATGAGAGATGTTAACTAAATTTACTGTGGTGATCATTTCACAATATATACATATATCAAATCATTATGTTGTACATTGATCTAATAACAGTGTTTTCTGTCAATTAGATCTCAACAAAACTAGAAAACATAAAATAAAAAAATGCATAATACAACATTAAAAAATTATAGCTCCATCCAACTACTTAAATCAGAGAGTGAAAAAGGAACAGCTATTTTTTAAGGTATAGTGGGGAAAGCATGGGATGTGGAGGTTGAACAGACCTGGGAATGAGTCCTAGCCTGTTATTCCATTCCTTCATTTCTTCCTTCATTCATTCCCTCATTCTTTCATTCACTCACTCACTTATATATGCACTCAACAAATGTTGATTAAGCTCTTTCTGTGGTCTGATTCAGGTATGCAGAGAGTAAAACAAATAAGGCCCTTGCCCCCCCCCCCCGCAAAGCACACCCTCTTATAGAGAACATGAAAAAAGCCACCAAATCAATTGTTAACCTCTCTGAACCTCAGTTTCCCCACCTACAAAATATAGGGTTTGCAAAGATTAAATGAGATGATATATGCAACATACCTGGCACATAGTAAGTAATAAATTAAACGGCAGCTACTCTTTCTGCTGTTTCTTTGTCAAACTCTCTCACACCCTTACCCCCACCTTTTTTAGTTCATCCCACAAATATTTATGGAATACATTCCAAGGATTTGCAAAACTCCATCCAGGCCAGAAAGGCTGAAGGAGTTGGACATATTCTGACCTCTGCCCTGCAGAAGAAATTGTCCAAGACTTGGAAAGGGACAAAAAAGAAGCCTGGGAATTCTTTTGGTGGAGTGCTGGGCATAATCAAATGGGCTTTCTAGGAATTATTGGTTTCTACAGAGGTGGGTAACTTTGACTGCATTTCTATTGACTAGGCTATGTTACAACTCTGTAAAAGCAGAAGCTAGACTGTAGAAAACTGATGGCAATGCAAATTAATGTTTTCCAGTAGAGATAATTTTGTTTCTACTTTATAGAAAAGATGATCCCAAACACATTCTGTTGCTCTATAAGATAATGACAAGTTTTGCAACTATTAGCAAACATTTACATCAGCATTCCTGATTGCCTATATAAATGTTCTTCAAAGGATTCTTTGAACAAGTCATAACATCTTACTGGTTCCCTCATTAATTCATGAGTTGAGTGAAATCTTTGACATGTGTTCACTATATATTTTCATGGGAGTCATGTTTTTAATTCCTTGAAAACTATCATGTTAGGAGCCATTGAGCTTATGATCTCTAGAGAGGCAAACAGCAAATTTTAAACATTAACTAATTTTTTAATTAAAACATGAATAAGTGCTGGAAATGGGAAATACATAGTTACCTCTAAAACTTTGAATAGACTCTAATACTGTAATAACTGCCCCTTCACTGGGACAGATGCTGCAAGCCTCACACCAAAGGTTCTACCAACTTTTCTCCCAACAGCAATCCATTTAGAACAATCTATGACTAGAGGCCATAGACCAAGGAACTGCTAGGAACAGAGG